GATATCAAGTCGACTGTATGATGGTGGGTATTATTACACTGATAATAGGTCTAATGTATGATAATGGGTGTTATTACACTGATAACAGGTCGAGTGTAACGTTATGGGTGTTATTACAATGATAACAGGTCGACTGTATGATTATGGGTGTTATTACACTGATAACAGGTCGACTGTATGATTATGGATGTTATTACACTGATAACAGGTCTAATGTATGATTATGGGTGTTATTACACTGATACCAGGGGTCGATTGTATGATTATTGGTGTTATTACAATGATAACAGGTCGACTGTAGGATTATGGTCGTTATTACACTGATAACAGGTATAATGTATGATGATGAGTGTTATAACAATGATAACAGGTCGACTGTGTGGTTATGGGTGTTATTACACTGATAAAAGGTCGGTGTAAGGTTATGTGTGTTATTACACTGATAACAGGTCGGCTGTAGGATTATGGTCGTTATTACACTGATAACAGGTAAAATGTATGATGATGAGTGTTATTACAATGATAACAGGTCGACTGTGTGGTTATGGGTGTTATTACACTGATAAAAGGTCGGTGTAAGGTTATGTGTGTTATTACACTGATAACAGGTCGACTGTGTGATAATTGGTGTTATTACACTGATAACAGGTCGAGTGTAATGTTATGGGTGTTATTACACTGATAACAGACCGATTGTAAGGTTATGGGTGTTATTACACTGATAACAAGTCGACTGCATAAATATTGGTGCTGTTACACTGATAACAGGTCGACTGTATGATGATGGGTGTTATTACACTGATAGCAGGTTGACTGTAAGGTTATGGGTGTTATTACATTGTTAACAAGTCGACTGTAAGGTTATGGGTGTTATTACATTGTTAACAAGTCGACTGCATAAATATTGGTGCTATTACACTGATATCAAGTCGACTGTATGATGGTGGGTATTATTACACTGATAATAGGTCTAATGTATGATAATGGGTGTTATTACACTGATAACAGGTCGAGTGTAACGTTATGGGTGTTATTACACTGATAACAGGTCGACTGTATGATTATGGGTGTTATTACACTGATAACAGGTCGACTGTATGATTATGGATGTTATTACACTGATAACAGGTCTAATGTATGATTATGGGTGTTATTACACTGATACCAGGGGTCGATTGTATGATTATTGGTGTTATTACAATGATAACAGGTCGACTGTAGGATTATGGTCGTTATTACACTGATAACAGGTATAATGTATGATGATGAGTGTTATAACAATGATAACAGGTCGACTGTGTGGTTATGGGTGTTATTACACTGATAAAAGGTCGGTGTAAGGTTATGTGTGTTATTACACTGATAACAGGTCGGCTGTAGGATTATGGTCGTTATTACACTGATAACAGGTAAAATGTATGATGATGAGTGTTATTACAATGATAACAGGTCGACTGTGTGGTTATGGGTGTTATTACACTGATAAAAGGTCGGTGTAAGGTTATGTGTGTTATTACACTGATAACAGGTCGACTGTGTGATAATTGGTGTTATTACACTGATAACAGGTCGAGTGTAATGTTATGGGTGTTATTACACTGATAACAGACCGATTGTAAGGTTATGGGTGTTATTACACTGATAACAAGTCGACTGCATAAATATTGGTGCTGTTACACTGATAACAGGTCGACTGTATGATGTTGGGTGTTATTACACTGATAACAGGTCCACTGTATGATTATGGTCGTTATTACACTGATAACAGGCCGATTGTAAGGTTATGGGTGTTATTACACTGATAACAGGTCGACGGTATGATGTTTGGTGTTCTTACACTGATTACAGGTCGACTGTATGATGATGGGTGTTATTACACTGATAGCAGGTCGACTGTATGATTATGGGTGTTATTACACTGATAACAGGTCGACTGTAAGGTTATGGGTGTTATTACATTGTTAACAAGTCGACTGCATAAATATTGGTGCTATTGCACTGATAACAGGTCGACTGTATGATGATGGGTGTTATTACACTGATAACAAGCCGACTGTATGATGTTGGGTGTTATTACACTGATAACAGGTCTAATGTATGATTATGGGTGTTATTACACTGATAACAGGCCGATTGTAAGGTTATGGGTGTTATTACACTGATAACAGGTCGACTGTATGATGTTTGGTGTTATTACACTGATTACAGGTCGACTGTATGATGATGGGTGTTATTACACTGATAACAGGTCGACTGTATACTTATTTGAGTTATTACACTGATAACAGGTCGACTGTAAGGTTATGGGTGTTATTACATTGTTAACAAGTCGACTGCATAAATATTGGTGCTATTACACTGATAACAGGTCGACTGTATGGTGATGGGTGTTATTACACTGATAGCAAGCCGACTGTATGATGTTGGGTGTTATTACACTGATAACAGGTCTAATGTATGATTATTGCTGTTATTACACTGATGACAGGCCGGTTGTATGATGATGAGTGTTATAACACTGATAACAGGTCGAGTGTATGATTATGAGTGTTATTACACTGATAACAGGTTGGCTTTATGATGATGGATGTTATCACACTGATAACAGGTCGAGTGTATTATTATGAGTGTTATTATACTGATAACAGGTCGGCTGTATGATGATGGATGTTAGCAAACTGATAACAGGTCGAGTGTATAATTATGAGTGTTATTACACTGATAACAGGTCGGCTGTATGATGATGGATGTTATCACACTGATAATAGGCCGACTGTATGATGATGAGTGTTATAACACTGATAACAGGTCGAGTGTATGATTATGAGTGTTATTACATTGATAACAGGTCGGCTGTATGATGATGGATGTTATCACACTGATAACAGGTCGGCTGTATGATGATGGATGTTATCACACTGATAACAGGTCGAGTGTATAATTATGAGTGTTATTACACTGATAACAGGTCGGCTGTATGATGATGGATGTTAGCACACTGATAACAGGTCGAGTGTATAATTATGAGTGTTATTACACTGATAACAGGTCAGCTGTATGATGATGGATGTTATCACACTGATAACAGGTCGAGTGTATGATTATGAGTGTTTTTACACTGATAACAGGCCGACTGTATGATGATGGGTGTTATAACACTGATAACAGGTTGACTGTATGATTATTGCTGTTATTACACTGATAACAGGCCGGTTGTATGATGTTGAGTGTTATAACACTGATAACAGGTCGAGTGTATGATTATGAGTGTTATTACACTGATAACAGGTTGGCTGTATGATGATGGATGTTAGCACACTGATAACAGGTCGAGTGTATGATTATGAGTGTTATTATACTGATAACAGGTCGGCTGTATGATGATGGATGTTAGCACACTGATAACAGGTCGAGTGTATAATTATGAGTGTTATTACACTGATAACAGGTCGGCTGTATGATGATGGATGTTATCACACTGATAACAGGCCGACTGTATGATGATGAGTGTTATAACACTGATAACAGGTCGAGTGTATGATTATGAGTGTTATTACATTGATAACAGGTCGGCTGTATGATGATGGATGTTATCACACTGATAACAGGCCGACTGTATGATGATGGATGTCATCACACTGATAACAGGCCGACTGTATGATGATGAGTGTTATAACACTGATAACAGGTCGAGTGTATGATTATGAGTGTTATTACATTGATAACAGGTCGGCTGTATGATGATGGATGTTATCACACTGATAACAGGCCGTCTGTATGATGATGGATGTTATCACACTGATAACAGGCCGACTGTATGATGATGAGTGTTATAACACTGATAACAGGTCGAGTGTATTATTATGAGTGTTATTACATTGATAACAGGTCGGCTGTATGATGATGGATGTTATCACACTGATAACAGGCCGACTGTATGATGATGGATGTTATCACACTGATAACAGGTCGAGTGTATAATTATGAGTGTTATTACACTGATAACAGGTCGACGGTATGATGATGGATGTTATCACACTGATAACAGGTCGAGTGTATAATTATGAGTGTTATTACACTGATAACAGGTCGGCTGTATGATGATGGATGTTAGCACACTGATAACAGGTCGAGTGTATAATTATGAGTGTTATTACACTGATAACAGGTCAGCTGTATGATGATGGATGTTATCACACTGATAACAGGTCGAGTGTATGATTATGGGTGTTATTACACTGATAACAGGTCGGCTGTATGATGATGGATGTTATCACACTGATAACAGGTCGAGTGTATAATTATGAGTGTTATTACACTGATAACAGGTCGGCTGTATGATGATGGATGTTATCCCACTGATAACATGGCAGTTGTTTACAGTTTTACGATGTATATATGTTTTCTTTCTCGATCTCTAGAGGTGTTGTTTGGTGGGGGATATGTGATGTAGAAATAACATCCATCATCGCATAATTTCCCTGTCATTAGTGTTATTACACTAATTACAAAAATGACCAAAACTCGTGCGTTTTTATTATTTTTTAGTTTTTCATGTCGAGGCAATATGTAAATTCGTGTTGAGTTGCATAAGTAAGACGTTGTCTGTCTGTCCCAATAATTTATAAGATTGTTTACGTATGTCTCCTTATCATATATACTGATGTAATGGTTAGGGAAGATCGTGTGAATACCACATGTTATAAATATAGATACCTTGACACGGACAATGCACGTGGATGTAATTACACATCGTATACATCACGGGTACAACATGTGTATGTCTGACACGTGACAACACAGACGTTCGACTCACATCTCGGTTAAAATATTAGTTAATAAATCAGGTTGATAGTAATTTTTTGGTGATAAATTTAAATGTATTGAACACATAACTGACAACTTATCGAGGAAGCATGAAATATGTATTCATTCGACATTGACATACATTGACATGCGCCAGCTTTCCCGACCCCCGGGCAACATTCTTGTACACTTACCGTTCGTGTTTCCATATCCCAGGGGGTACGTTGGTCGCATGAGGGTATCTGTGAGGCGTTTGTGTAGCAAATCCATGGGTCTAAGGAAGGTGACCATTGTGTACAGGACCGGTAACTACCTAGCTGTGACGTTAACACGCGCATGTGCACATGCGTGATTTACAGGCCATGATCCAAAGGTTTGTCAGCTTGACTGTATCCTCACGGCGTGTGAGACAATAGCTACATTGTGGTATATCACATCTACATCACGTGATCGCTCTGTATATAGTATTATAGAGAATTTCTCTATGCTCCAAATTCTTCTACACAGAGTCTTAATCACTCATCTTCTATACATGTATTTTGACTATTTCAATAAATAGTATCGATAATCTGTTTCATTTTTTCTTTCTTTCTTTTTTAACGCACAGTATTTCATGATAATGAACAATATGCTGGAAATACATTACTAACCCGATCACACACCCATGTACAATAGATATATTGACAACCTTAAAGAAATACATGAAGGAAATTTATGTAAATACAATGATAAGTGAGGTGTTTTCTGCAGAGTTGAGCAGAGTGTTGCCTTATACATGCGCCTCCCCAACCTGGCGGAAATAGTACTATATCCCAAACATCATTCGCCTACTTGGACAAAACGAACAATATCCGAAACGCCATATTAAACGGTACACCGGTCTGGACTAATTCTACCAGACCTACAGTATATATAACGGTACCCATGTCTGGACTAATTCTACCAGACCTACAGTATATATAACGGTACCCATGTCTGGACTAACTAATTCTACCAGACCTACAGTATATATAACGGTACCCATGTCTGGACTAATTCTACCAGACCTACAGTATATATAACGGTACACCGGTCTGGACTAATTCTACCAGACCTACAGTATATATAACGGTACCCAAGTCTGGACTAATTCTACCAGACCTACAGTATATATATACATAACGGTACCCATGTCTGGACTAATTCTACCAGACCTACAGTATATATAACGGTACGGTACTACCATATAACGTCACCGGTCTACCAGACCTACAGTATATATAACGGTACCCATGTCTACTAATTCTACCAGACCTACAGTATACATAACGGTACCCATGTCTGGACTAATTATACCAGACCTACAGTATATATAACGGTACCCAAGTCTGGACTAATTCTACCAGACCTACAGTATATATAACGGTACCCATGTCTGGACTAATTCTACCAGACCTACAGTATATATAACGGTACCCATGTCTGGACTAATTCTACCAGACCTACAGTATATATAACGGTACACAGGTCTGGACTAATTCTACCAGACCTACAGTATATATAACGGTACCCTACCAGTCTATATATAACGGTAATTCTACCAGACCTACAGTATATATAACGGTACCCATGTCTGGACTAATTCTACCAGACCTACAGTATATATAACGGTACCCATGTCTGGACTAATTCTACCAGACCTACAGTATATATAACGGTACATACCGGTCTGGACTAATTCTACCAGACCTACAGTATATATAACGGTACCCATCTGGACTAATTCTACCAGACCTACAGTATATATAACGGTAGACCTACAGTATATATATAACGGTACCCATGTCTGGACTAATTCTACCAGACCTACAGTATATATAACGGTACCCATGTCTGGACTAATTCTACCAGACCTACAGTATATATAACGGTACCCATGTCTGGACTAATTCTACCAGACCTACAGTATATATAACGGTACCCAAGTCTGGACTAATTCTACCAGACCTACAGTATATATAACGGTACCCATGTCTGGACTAATTCTACCAGACCTACAGTATATATAACGGTACCCATGTCTGGACTAATTCTACCAGACCTACAGTATATATAACGGTACCCATATCTGGACCAATTCTACCAGACCTACAGTATATATAACGGTACCCATGTCTGGACTAATTCTATACAGTTTTTATTCGGTACCCATGTCTGGACTAATTCTACCAGACCTACAGTATATATAACGGTACCCATGTCTGGACTAATTCTACCAGACCTACAGTATATATAACGGTACACCGGTACTATATATAACGGTAATTCTGGACTAATTCTACCAGACCTACAGTATATATAACTACCCGGTCTGGACTAATTCTACCAGACCTACAGTATATATAACGGTACCCATGTCTGGACTAATTCTACCAGACCTACAGTATATATAACGGTACCCATGTCTGGACTAATTCTACCAGACCTACAGTATATATAACGGTACCCATGTCTGGACTAATTCCCAGACCTACAGTATATATATCGGTACCCATCCCTGTTTTAATTCTACCAGACCTACAGTATATATAACGGTACCCATGTCTGGACTAATTCTACCAGACCTACAGTATATATAACGGTACCCATGTCTGGACTAATTCTACCAGACCTACAGTATATATAACGGTACACCGGTCTGGACTAATTCTACCAGACCTACAGTATATATAACGGTACACCGGTCTGGACTAATTCTACCAGACCTACAGTATATATAACGGTACCCATGTCTGGACTAATTCTACCAGACCTACAGTATATATAACGGTACACCATGTAATTCTACCAGACCTACAGTATATATAACTATATATAACGGTAGACCTACAGTATATATAACGGTACCCATGTCTGGACTAATTCTACCAGACCTACAGTATATATAACGGTACACCGGTCTGGACTAATTCTACCAGACCTACAGTATATATAACGGTACCCATGTCTGGACTAATTCTACCAGACCTACAGTATATATAACGGTACACCGGTCTAGAATAATTCTACCAGACCTACAGTATATATAAAGGTACACCGGTCTGGACTAATTCTACCAGACCTACAGTATATATAACGGTACCCAAGTCAGGACTAATTCTACCAGACCTACAGTATATATAACGGTAGACCTACAATATATATAAAGGTACACCGGTCTGGACTAATTCTACCAGACCTACAGTATATATAACGGTACCCATGTCTGTGCTAATTCTACCAGACCTACAGTATATATAACGGTACACCGGTCTGGACTAATTCTACCAGACCTACAGTATATATAACGGTACCCATGTCTGGACTAATTCTACCAGACCTACAGTATATATAACGGTACACAGGTCTGGACTAATTCTACCAGACCTACAGTATATATAACGGTACCCATGTCTGGACTAATTCTACCAGACCTACAGTATATATAACGGTACCCATGTCTGGACTAATTCTACCAGACCTACAGTATATATAACGGTACACAGGTCTGTACTAATTCTACCAGACCTACAGTATATATAACGGTACACCGGTCTGGACTAATTCTACCAGACCTACAGTATATATAACGGTACCGGTACCCATGTCTGGACTAATTCTACCCATGTCTGGACTAATTCTACCAGTACAGTATATATAACGGTACACCGGTCTGGACTAATTCTACCAGACCTACAGTATATATAACGGTACCTACAGTATATATAACGGTACCCATGTCTGGACTAATTCTACCAGACCTACAGTATATATAACGGTACCCATGTCTGGACTAATTCTACCAGACCTACAGTATATATAAAGGTACACCGGTCTGGACTAATTCTACCAGACCTACTGTATATATAACGGTACCCATGTCTGGACTTATTTTACCAGACCTACAGTATATAACGAGTAATGGTAATGATTGTGTCATATAGGAACACTACCCGGGTCCTACTGGTAATGTTGAACAGATCTGTCTTAATTCTATTGATACTTCTCTTTTTCTTCTGACATCGAAAGTAACAAGGAACGAGTTCCTTGTCTGATTCGAAGTCAGGGAGTTCCTGGTGCCTGTCATCATCATGGGGAGCAGGTTCATGGTCTGAGTCGATGTCAGGGAGTTCCTGGTGCCTGCCATCATTATAAGGAGCATATGTTTCTGGTCTGAGTCGATGTCCGGGAGTTCCTGGTCCCTGTCATCATGATAAGGAGCATTTTCCCGGTCCGAGTCGATACCCGAAAATTCCTGGAGAATATAGTCTTCAGTGGGACGATGTTCAGTATTATGTGTCACATGAACACAGACTCTGTGGGTTCTAGATTTTCTGGAATATATTAAATGGTAAACAATAGAATATGTTTTAAGTATATTCCGGATTAATGTCATGTGTGGAGGTCCATTAACTACCAGTAACTGAACATTTTGCATTAAATAGGTAATGCCTGAAGAGTTTTGGGATATCCATGTGTACGTCACTGTTGCATAGCGGAGAGATTATTTACGGAATTCACTCCTTCCACAAATGGCCGGTACGCGTCCCGTTGTCCCCTTCGTGAGATTCTATGGTAGAGTTGCTGGAAATTTTGTGAAATGTTATATCCCGCCAGTTGGTGAGCACCTGTCTGGGTTCTGGCAACTAATTGGTTAGTACGTGGATCAAATGAAACTGTTTTCAGACAGACTTTCCGTGTACCTCAGCGGTATGTAGAATCAGGTGCAGCCGTTTACTCCGAGGTATGTATTTCTTTGTCGTTTTCTTTCTTCGCCTAATGTCCAGTGTCTCGTTCATCTAGAGCATTCAATTTGACAGGGTATTGCCTAGTCAACATCTTCCGGTCCATCACATTTTCGCCCCCGAAATGAACCTCTTTCTCGAACGGAACACGAGATCTACCGCTTGGATATCAAATAGGTATATTATCACCGTTAAGCTATGTTTTGTCCATGCTGAACGTATTAATTTACAGCATGTGTTTCTGTTCTTAACTCTCTGAATACATTTGTTGCTTAAAGTTGACTTTTGAAGCCTGTGACCTCCTCCGTTTAGAGAGTGCTGTATTTTATGGGAGGATGTGGTTAGATTATCTCCCTTCCTTGCTATACTGTAATAATTTTGTTTTGGCGGAATAATCTATGACTGCTCCCACATTTCCCCTATGACTGAGGAGAATACGGTCTACTTTGGATAACACTGATGCCTTCTCAAAAAGGAGGGTTTCCCAGGTGTCCACGGAATTCATTGCAGTTGTCACACTGAACGTAGCGCGGTAACCTAAGAAATGTTTTTGAAAGTTCGGTTGCCGTGCGCAAAC